ACTTTGTACTTAATAATGTCACCACATATTTAATGTATTATGTATTTTTATAATTTAGTTCAATGATAAATGTGTTGGGTTAGATTTTAGGTTTGTAAATGTTAAAATATGCAAATACACACAGAGATACTACTAGCCCCAGAAGTCTGGCAGATCACTTAAGGCTAAGTTAATTAAGATCAATACTTTTGGCAAGATTGAGCAGTGGTCTTATTTTGAATGTCCTGCTTGCTGCATCTTGCACTGGCCTCAGTTTTGCCAGTCATCCTCTTGAATTTCACAGAAAGATGCTGGTTTATGGCACTGAGCACAGTGTGTGGTGGGTGTGTTTATCCAGGTAGCCACACCAAATTCAGACCATGTTTCACAAAGGCTGCCAATGCCACAACTGATCTGCAGGGTGCTGCTTCAGCCTGGGGTGCAGTTGAAGGGTTTGTTTTTCTTTAACAATGCGGAAGGATAGTAAAGAAATGACTTCTTCCACAAGTCCTGGTTCAGGACTCATGTCCCACTTGTTGTCTGAGAGCCTGTAACTAAATCTGTCGGTAACTGATCTAGTGTTGCAAAATGATTAATTTAAATGGCCTTTCCTTAGGGTTTGCCAACAGATACAGCATTGAGAATGCCAGAGTTCAGGTGGATTGAAGGACTGGAGGTTTGAGAGGACTGCTAGTGCATGCCCTGATCCTTGGTGTGGTTCTAAGAATTTGAACAACACAGTAATAAAGTCTTTGAAGACATTTCTTTGTCAAGCTGTATTTAATTAGACTGAAATACTGTCCAGAACCTGCTGTGGACATTGTGGTTGACTTCAGTTCATCTGTTATATGCCCTGTCCCCTAGAGCAAGATAAAAACCCCATTTCTTTTACCTTAGTATGTTTTCATTTTAGTGTGTTGGATAATTAGCAATTACTCATTTGTGGATAAAAGCCAAGGAGGTTGAACAAATGGTTAAGAAATTATGGGGGGGAAATTAGGAGATAAAACAAGTTAGAAGGAACATTTGGTGAAAGCAAAGCACTGTAAAACTGATCAGTATTTTTTTGACATTTTATAAGCCATTGTACACTTATTGCCATGGTAATGAATGGAAATGGAGTGGGTGATACATATTTTGGTGGTTTTAATTAAAAAAAAATATTAAGAAGGCAGTAAGCAGTATAATTTTTACTCTACTTTCAGTTAGTAGCTACTAGCTACTGTTCTGTTTTCAGCTCATAGGCCTGTTTTAAAAGTCAGAAAAATAATTGTTCGAAAACCCATCAAAGTACATGCATGTTATTGGAGGGAGGAAGGACAGAACTTTGTTTCCAAGACATTTTATTTGTCTGTCACAAAAAAGGATATTGGCTGACACCAGAGAGAGCTGCATTCCTGTATCCCTTTCTTACTGAAGATTTAATTGTGATCAGAGCCCTTAGATACATGAGGAAAAGTTATGAAAAGAATAATCAGGTGAATAATAAATTCCTTAATTAAAACTGAATAATAATGTATCCTCTTATTTAAATTTTTTTAACTGCTCTGTTAATAAAAATAAATGCCAAGCAGGTTTTGCAAATACAGTAAAATAAGTCTTTTCACAGACATTGAATTAATTTAATTGCAGAAGTTTATATTGTCATTTAATTTAGTAGGCAAAAAAGACCACTGATCTTTCTGATCTGGTATTATGTATCCAACTGTGAGCAGGATCCTAAGGTGTTAATATTATAATTGTCACGGGAAACTGTAATTCTCTTTATTGTGCTGTGTGAAACAAGAGTAGAGTTTTTCAGCAGGCCCATAATATTGTAAATTTTCTGAAGTGTTAATGATACTTTAGAATATTCATTGTGTATGATGGAATTAATTTTGCATTCTCATTCTTCTGACATATTATCTAAAAATTATGTGGAATGAGTTCAGCTTTGTTTACTAGAGTGCTTTTTTCTCACACTTTCTTTTACGTATTTGAGTTTGTGACACTTGGTTCAGTATTATCACCTGTAATTGTGTCCTTTGTAATCCATTCAAAACTGAAGATAGACTCCTGTAGAGTACACAGAGATGGCAAGACAAATGCTGGGTTATGTGTGTTAGGTACATATTTATGCATTCACATACAGTATTCTTTAGAATGGCAGTTGTACATTTCACAAAAAGCAAACATTTTGCTTTGATAGAGGAAGCATTTGGTTAAATATACCTCTGGCTAAATAAAGAGACCACCAACACACAGGTAGGTGGAGACATCATGGTTGGCATACCACTTCAAACACGAGAGGTTGTTTTCAATGCATTTCCCATTTGAGGATTAGTGTTCATAAGCATGGGCAAATTATTCCTTGCAGTATGTTTGTGGCTGTATGCAATGTAATGAAAAGATTTCCAAGACAGATTATTTTCAGTTGGAGCTCATTAATGAGGTAGATGAATTTTAAGCCTGATGAAATGATACAGATAAAAATTTAGCCTCAAAATACACCTATAAAAGGGAAGTTACTGGATTTTAAAACCCAGCTCCTAGATTAATTTTCAATTCTACACATGAAATTTTATATTTTATTTTAATTTTAACTTGTATGTCTCTGAATGTTATGTGAGTTATCTAATTAAAATTAATATTTCTGAACATATTATCTGAAATGCATTAAATTTTTAGTATCTGTGTATTAAAACTTCAACAGTCTTGTTCTTAGTGGATCACATTTTTAGAGTAATTTCCCTTGCTTAATGTACAGGTTAAAGAACATAAACTTTTCAGGGTTTCAAGACACATTTTAGAAGGTCTTAGGTGAGCTGCCAGCTGAGAAGACTTTTACTAACTTTCCATCTATATTTTTCTGTGGACTTGTGCTGTGAGACAAAGGTTCTCAGAGTGGGAGTGCCTTTGATCTGCTTCTCACTGTGGCTATTAGCAGTTGCTCCAAGAATGAGAGCAAGACAGCATGTAGGATATCCCTGCTCCCAGCATTTTTCAGCCTGGAAGCCTCTCCAGCCAGCTGAGGTTTGTCTGTGTTTGCTAATGATCAGTATGTTTCTTTTTCATGACTTTGTATCATTGGCAAACTTTGATCTCGTTTTTTTTTTTTCAAGTAATTTACACATATCTTAATTAACATGGATCCCAGCATAGCAACTTAGTAAAACTCACCTTTCTCGACTGTGAAGACTGGTGATTTACTCCTATGCCCTGTTTTCTACCTTTTGAGGAATTATTTATCCGTGCCACTTCTTTTGTATGCCCCATCTGTTAGGTTTTCCCCAAAGCGTTTGATTAGGGACTTTCTAAACTCTCTTGGAAATCTCACTAGATCATAGCTCTCTATGTGCTTCTAAACCACTCAGAATTTCTCTTTACAAAAGCTGTGCTGTCTCTTCTGTCATGAGTCATCCAGATGTCTGCTAATTCAGTTCTTCATAATGATCTATACTAATTTGTATGGATGTCAGGCTTACGGGTCTGTAGCTCTCAGGCTCCCAAGATGTTCCATGAAAAAAAATTTGAACCTTGTTGTTGTGTATTTCAATGTGTATAAGTACAATGATTCCTAATATTTGCTGGTCAGTACGTTCCTTTAATTTTGTAATTCTTGTGTAGTCCCTTCAGTTTCTTTGAGCTTCCCACAATGAGTTCTGGCACCAGGTTCCCTTTGGTGGACACCAGTGGAAGGTGTTACATTAGCTTGTCCACAGGGCTCTTGCCTTCTCTGTATTCCTTCGTATTTTCATTGCCAGTCTGCTCTGCAGACTCCCTGGCAGGCTTTCTTATTCCTCATGTCTTTGAAGGAATATTTATTGTTAGTTTGCTAGCTGTTCCTCTTCTATTTTCTTCTTCTGTACATTTCTTCTGATATCATCTTTTATATTCCATTGTGTACAGTGATGCTGGTTTTCTATTGCTGTTACCAAAATCTTAATAAATGGTATGTGCTGGCCTTGTGCTTACTACACAGCATCTTAAAGTAGTTTCCACAGTACCTGTAGGGATTTAATTTTTGTTCTTTTGATGTGTTTATATAAAAATGTCCTCATTTTTATGTATACTTCCAGATGTATTGCTCACCAAAGGCAGAATTTCCACAGCTATCCTTTTCTTTTATACCTGTCAGAACTTGAATGCAAAGCAGGTAGTTAGAAATTTGTGAGATTTATACTCCCAAAACCAACATAAGTGCACAAACAATACATGAATTACATATGCACAGTAGAAAGTTTTGAAAGCTATCACATTGTATTTCAGAAGTGTGGCTGCACATTCTGCTGTCTAGTCTGGTGGGATTTTTCCAGTGACATTGGCAGACTTCTCAGATGGAGTCTTGAGAGCATTAGAAGCAGTATGGGGAGTACTCTGTAGAAAAGAAACTCATTACTGATCTTTTTCTCATAGTATTTGAATCTCTTGCTCTTTTTTGCTAAAAATATGATGTCCATTGATGTGAACAAAGGAGATTTTTTTTGTTGTTTGGGGTTTTTTTTACTTCAGTGTCAATGGGTCAGTTACTAGAATTTTGATCCTTCAAGGTAGGATTATTTTAGTGTGTATTTTTGAATAGGCTGGTTCTAATTTACCTAGATATGAATATCTCATCTTCCATTTTTTGTAAAGTTCTCTGTACAGCAGGAGTGGAAGCAGTGCTTCATTTTGAGAGCAGCGTTGAGGTAAATTTAAAAAATCGTTATCGCTCAGACAGGAGCAACATCAGATGCTGGAAGTTGTCCTTTTAGAAATATCCAAGAAACTGCAGTCTAGTTCCATGCATATCAGCATAGTTAAATCATTTTATGGCAGCTGAATATCTGTCCTGTAATGTATTAAATAATTTAATTTCTGATAAATAAGTTGCATAGTAAGTATTTAACTTCTGTTTGCTTTTCTAAAGGACTCTTAATGGGCTCAGTAAGTACAAGTTGTTACAATGACACTTGTGCATCTTAGAATTACTTAATTAAAACAGTAAGAAATCATTTGCCTGTCTTGTGGTATGCTTGAATAATTTTTTTCCCATGTTTCAGGTAAATATGCTGAAGATATATTTGGTGAACTTTTCAATGAAGCACACAGTTTCTCATTTAGAGTCAACTCCTTACAAGAGCGTGTAGATCGCTTGTCTGTCAGTGTTACACAACTCGATCCAAAGGAAGAGGAATGTAAGTTACCTCCTGCAGGGAGGATTTCTTATTTTGTCACTCAGTACTGAAAGGTGAAATGGAAAGAATAGTTTAATAGTTTAAATCATATTTATAAGAACACACAGCAAAGCTTCATAAGAAAGGTCCAGTTCCATTTCTGCTACAGGTTTTTTTTTATAGCCTTAAGCAGCTTTCTGAGCTCAGCGTTTTCATGGTTACTGAATGACACTAAGGAATTTACAAAAAAATGGCTACAGGAGTATCTGTCTCTTCAGTAGTGTTACATATTTGGAATATTAATAATATTATGTAATATTATGTGAATGCTTGGAGATTTTTTTAAACCTTTCTATTAATTCTCATAGAATGTAAGCATTTGTCCAGGTAGGGTTTTTGCATTTAACTTGTACCATCTTACTTTCTGAATGACATTATAGTTGTATGGCTTCATTTATTACTGCTGCATAACTTCTTGGACTCTTTCTAAATAACTTTAAGTATTGTAAATATTGGTTAGCACTGAGAAAACAAGCACTCTCAGAAATCATCAGCTCTTGCATATAAGATAGAATTTGTATGGAATGTTAAAGGATGCCTAGGCTTTGTTTGGCCACCTAATGCATAAATGCTGTGAAGCTTTTTTGCCTTCTTCGATATCTGCTGGTCACAGGTCAACTGTGAAAAATCTTGTAACCCCAAAAAATGTAGGGTGTTCTAGACTATGTGGTTAAGACCTAGAAAGTAGAGGAATATCCCTTCATGAAAAATAACTTGAGATTGCTTGTGGGATCCAATTATAAGCTATAGAATGATGTTTCAGCTCTGAATGTCTACATATAATAATAGTGTATTATTACATTGTGTGATTACAATTGTGTATACAGAAATAATGAAGTGAGAGTAGTCTTCAGGTTGTCTTTGGTTATAGATGTCAGAATTGCAATAGTAGCAAAATAAAGCAAAGAGACGTTTTGGGTTCTGTATTTCACATGACATTAATTTTAGAACAGGTTTTGAATGACAGCTGCTCACAGCTAGTAACAGATTTTCCACAAAAGCATGACTTGCCTAGGGGAATTCTTACATTAATGGGATTTTCCAAGTCTCTTGATAACTGAGCATAAATCACCCGTGTACACCTCTTTTTCAAATTGTTGTGGTTTAACCTGGCAGATTAACACCACACATCCACTTGCTCACCCCTGCTCCACAGTGGGAGGAGATAATCAGGGGGAAAAATAAGTGAAATTTGTGGGTTGAAATAGTGATATTTTAATAGGACAGAAAAGGAAGGGAAAAAATCAATAATAATATTAGAATATACAGAACAAGTGACACACAATGCAGTTGCTCACCACCCGCTGACTGATGATGCCCAGCCAGTTCCTGAGCAGCAGCCCAGCCCCCAGACACCTTTCCCCTGGGTTTATGTGCTCAGAATGACACCATGTGGTATGGAAGGTCTCTTTGGCCAGTTTGGGTCAGCTGTTGTGGCTGGGTCTCCCCCCAGCTCCTTGTGCCCCCCCAACCTGCACCCTGGTAGGTTGGAGTTAGAAGTTAAAGAGTCCTTGACCACTGCTCAGCAACAACTAAAGCATCAGTGTGTTATCAGCATTATTCTCATCCTAAATCCCAAACACAACACTATACCAGATACTAGGAAAAAATGAAATCTCCTGCCCAAACCAGGGCATTTTTGCTATGATTGGATAATGATAAAAAACCCTTTCCATGTATGATAATAAATTGTCAGCAGTTGTAATCCTGTAAAAACTGTAACACTCTGGATTGTTAATGGCATTTCAGCATTTACTCTTGAGAGCCTAGTTTTGGTTTAAATCAGAGGGCAGTGTATGTTGTTATAGCATATCTAATATGTTAATCATTCACATTTCCATAGAATGGAGAGACCATATTAGGCCATTGAGTTGAAGCATCCAGGAATATTACACAATAGCAAGAAAATTGTGTTATGCTATGTAAAAGGCCTTTTAGAAGTTTGGCTCTACATTTCAGGACCAAAAATCTGTAACTATTTGATGTTAGAAAATTGCTAGAAGTAGTTTTAAATAGTGTGTAGTCCCCAGTGCACCATCCCAACACATTTTCACAGAACTGTGCATGCTGTAGTGTTTGCTAAACCATATAGCCAAAGAAAGGTACAGACTGCAGTTAAGGAAATGGGGAATAGGTCTAACAGTGAAGTCCATCATGGCTCAGGGTGATTTGTACCTGATCCCCTGGATTTGTGTCTCACACCATAGAGTAACAGTGACTGCTTGTACTTCAGAGGAGCACTTGCAGTCCTCAGTGTCAGGAGCTATTAAATTACTGTTTTTATTAACCTAAGAATATCCAGTCCCTGAGCTGCAGCCAGTGCTCCTTATTCACAAACATCTGCCTGGAATGAGTCACCAGATGAAGACAAAGGAGATGAGGAGACATTTGATATTCTATTTCCTTAAAAGTTAGAGATCAGAAAACTTTTTTTTTCCTTCAGTATACTGTTTTGGGCTTGACTTTAGAAATCCATCACAAGTAATTTAGGTATAGTCCTAGTGTGGACTAGAATAGCTGAGGGATGTTAATGCATGAAGGGGGAGGGAAGGGGGGGAATATTTGAATTTACCTTTTTTTAACTCTCTGTGCAAGAATTAAGCAACTTTCAGTACTTCTACTCAGCTAACAGCATGAGTAAAATGGGATATACTTGTGAAATGAGTCTCATCTGCTCTTTGCCAGGAGGCAGTAATAGAAGATTTAATGGGTTCCTTTGGGCCCATGCTATTACACAAGAGAAAGAAATTAAGATTCATTTAAAGCTAAGTGGCATGAACAAAAACAGCCCAAGTCAGATTCACTAAACGAGATGCAGATATTTGGCAAGATGTTTCTGGCAGAGTCAGAGTGATAAAAAGCTCTGAATTTGTTTGAACAGTCTGTGTGTTTTCTCATTTTGAATTATTACAGCATCTCTGTGAAAGAATAAAACCAAGGTTAAGATTGTATCTTTAGGAGTCTAACTCCTCATGCACAATTTTTCTGTCATAGAAGAATTGCTATCAACTTGGTTTGCTTTGAATTATTACACTGTTTTCAAATTCTTGATTTCTCAGTATTATTAATTTCATATTTTAATAGATTTTTTAAAATACTTTATTATTTTCATACACATTTGGGGTTTCCCCTCAGAACATATCAAACTTGTATGCAGACAAAATAAATCCTCTACTTTCCATCAGTAAACTCAGCTTTATTTCAATTGTATGGGAAACAAACCCATATGTATCCAAGAGTAATATTTGGGGTCCTTTTTGGACTGAGAAAACACATTTGTGCTACAAAGCTGAACTAAGGTCAACAACTTCACTAGCCCTGCAGTATGAGGTGTCCTCATAGGTGAGAAAATAAATCCTGAGTATAGTTTCTTTGCAACCATTTTTCATTTCAGTATTTACTTTATAGTTAACATTTCTAACTCTGTCCATATATATGCAAATTGCATCAGTAAAATAATATTTCTCTTAATTGATCAAATTTTCATTAATTTAATTGTGCCTTTTAAGTGTGAAGTACTGCTAAAAGTGAAAAATAACACAGTTGTAGAAATCTGACAATTTTGAAAAGAATATTAATATTAACAATTATGTGGTTCTTTTTTGAGGTGATGATACATGATAGAGCCCTGATGTATTGTGTCATGAGGTATTGGAAAATAGTTTTGTATCCCTCAGAAATAAATAATATCAGGGCAGAAGGAAAATTCATAAATTCAGAATTTATCAGACTATTTTAGTATTAATTTAGTGCTTCTTTCATTGTGAGCTGCCTAATTCTATTTAAACCTCAAACCAGAGAGGATTTTAATCTCAAAGACAGTGTATCAAATTCTTGATTTCCACAGCATATTTGTTACAACTGTGACAAGAAACTTAAATAAACCTAATGGCAGAAGTGCTGTGGGTGAGCAGCCTGGCACATTTCAGGAAAGGAATCGAATAGTGTTGTGAATTGTGTTCCACTAGGCTTCTGCCTTTGAATACATGTGTTAGTTGTTTTTCTAAACATTCTATAAATATTGCCCTGTCATTAAAACAATAGTAGTTCGGAAGTTTGGCTGGACCAACGCCAAAAACAGATTTGTTGTTTTGCTATGGGGAAAGAAAGGTAGCATTTGGTGGGGAGAAACCTAAAAAGCTTGACAGGTAATTGTGGTCTGTATACTGCTGGAAGTGGGAGACTTGGTCAACTTTAAAGTCTGGATACTCAGCCCATTGTGAGACTTAGGAGGAAAGGGTAGTAAGCCCCAGTTTAAGGGGCAGCTCACTGTCTTTAGCCTCTGAAAAAGATTTTGCTGAGTATAAATGTAATCAAAATTAAGAACAGGGAGCACATGAAAATTGGGTCATGATCTCTGCATGTACTCTATTAAGTGGAGAGTAACACTATTGTGAATTCATTCATTAGAAATCTTACCCTCCAAGGCAGATAAAGACTCTAGGATTATATAGCAGGTCTCTTTTCCTTGCACATTGCTACTGAAAGGAAGTTGGATTTGACTGTGTCTCCCTCTCAAGATTCTGGGCTTCAACTGCTCTCCATGTTCCTTCTCCAATTTTCTTGGGCCCTTGATGAAATCTGTGGGTTATTTAGGAAGTAAATCAGTTTTAAATTACTGTGTCCAAGGACTGATAGATCCATAGTAGGACCATGATAGTGCATGTTTTGTGTATAAAAAGAGGGATGTGGACAAAATAACCACTTGCTAAACAATTTGGTGGTTTTGTTGAGACTTACCAGCAGATTCAGTGCTTGATGCCCATGGATAATTCACATCTTAATTGGGCTTGCTTGTTCTACGTGCTGCATTTGAAGCAGCTTCTGAGTCCTCCTAAAATGATTGCTCTAACATTTACATCTTCTTTTTGTTTACCTGTAGTAGTTAAGCGACATACTTTCTCTATCCAAAGAGTTCTTGAGCTATTTTGGAATTTTTTTAACAGTGTTTCAGAAAATTTCTATTTCTTGTGCAGGGGACAAGCCCAAGAGTGATGTCTGATCTACAGAAATAATCTCTCTTTAGCAACTATCAAACCCACAGTCAGACTATTCTGATGGCAGAGAAACCTAATATGTGTGCATTCTGGTCATTGTTTAAATGGATAATCATTAAAAGTATAAAATAAATAAGGTCGAAATCAGACTTTGAGATTGCAGTATCTTTAGGAACTGAATCACACAAATCTTTACCTTAAGAGAATTTTCAACAGCACCACTCCGTACCAATTATTTCTCTTTAATGGGAAATTTACAAATAAGGTATTTGTTTGAGAGTGTCGTTAGTTCCTCTTTGCGCTTTTCAAATTGCTGGGTAAGATTTTGGACAGAGAAAGGGAATTGTACAGGGCAACCAAGTCCCTTAATTTGGATGAAATTACCCCTAGTAATTTAGTTCTGCAGGGAGTCACAGCTGTGATATTCAGGAGTTTATGGTCTTGAAAGCTGCCAGGATGAAATTCTGCAAAATGCATTAAGAGAACAAGTTTCTAAGAGGAATATATCTGATTTCTTTATTAACTCTCTTTAGGAGAATGTTTTGTTTTTTTTTTTTACCTAGAATCTAATCATAAATTGTGTAGTTGAGGGACTGTAAAATAATAAAAATAAATCTAGTAACTGTTTTTTCTTTTGGTGAAGTAAAATGTAGTATTTAATGTATTTGAAAAGTTAAAGGTAGCTACTTTCTGTCAGCGCTCTAGTGAGCTCTATACCTGACTTATACTACAAGATGGGGATTTAAGTTTAATGAGATGCTTGCCAAGAGATAAAACATTACTTAGTACGCACGTTACAGATGTGCTTTTATTTAATTTTTACTTTACCCCAAAAGAAACACAGTTATTGTATCTCATCAGAGTGCAATTTAAATACCCTTCCCCTCCACCCCCCCAGTGTGTTGTTGATTATAAGTAAAAATGGACTGGTATCTCTTTTTCAAAACCTAGTGTACAAAAGGCTGACAGTTTAGCTTTCTGACAGACAATTTTTGCTTATGTGGAAAATATTGTTGTGCACAGAGGGTTAGATTGGCTGATATAATATGTCTTTTCATACAATCCAAACAACAGACACAATAAAGACAAACAGGCATTTGTTTAGACTGTTGAATGAATCTTCAAATTAAATTGTGAATATCTCAACATTTAAGGAAATCATTTAAGACCCCTTTTTTTGTTAATTGCAGTGAATACAAGCGGTGTAGTAGGTGGACTTTCAGAAAAATATATCCTTATCAAATTTAGGATCTTGGGCTGTACAAAAAGTTCTGGTGCTAGTTAAGAATTAAGCAACTGGAAGCACAAATTTACCAGCCTCAAGTCAAATGCCTGCAGCTTTTCCAGCTCCTCCTTCAGCTGCACATCTCTGCTCCCACCTGAATCCATGCATGCAGTTTGCCTGCCCGGCCCCCTTGCAGTGTGTCAATCACTGAGCCGGGTGGCCGTGGCACCAGCCAGCTTTTCACCCCGCTGAGGCTGTAAACCACGCAGGGCTTTTGTCTCTCTGCCAGCTGGCAGGCCAAACAAGTGGCTTTGTAAGCCAGACCGTGCACGGCCCAGGATTACGCTGGGTGTGCGACGTGGGATTTACCTGATCCCTCTGTGTAGGCAAGTTAGATCCATGGCAGGATTCTCCATGTGCTGCGTGCCACGTCCTTCTGCTTCCTGAGTAATGCTGTCCTAATGTGGTCTGCTAGTTGGAATAATGGTGTGCTTTTCAGGGAATGCCTGTTACAGGTCTTGAAATTCTACAGTATGTCTTTTCCATGAAGCCTTCTGCTGTGTATCTTAGGTTTAAAGAGAAAATTATTATGCTTATTGTTGGGGATTGACTGACTGATTATCCTCTGGTGTGTTATCCCCCTCTGTGTGTGTACAAAATGTAGAGTTTTAAGCAAGGAAAGGGACATTATAAATCAGACTGGCTGCACTTGCTCATTGAAGAGATGGAGTGTTAATAAGGAGTTTGTAGAACAGTGTTAATAATATGGTATCACTTACTCTGTGAGCGTTTTAATATTAAACCAAAGTACTGTATTTATTTATTAGAATAAATTGATTAAGTTTTTGTCTTCAGAATGTACACAGGTTCAAAGAGAAGTATACTAAGTTTTACTTTTGTTGGAAATGTCTCCAATATATGACATACAGTTAGAAATCTTGCAGGATTGCCAAGCAACTCTGAGCAAGTACCTTTGGTGTTATTTGTGTAACCAACAACTCAAAGGAAAAGCAGCTGAAGTATAAAAAGATCTAAGACTTAAATTTTTAGATGAGGTAAACCTCAGTTATTCTAACTGAACTTTTGCCAGCTGATAACAACCTGTACTTCATGACAGGTATAAAATATATAGGGTTAGTTATGACTGCAAAAATACCTACAGAAACTGAGACTCCTAGCTGACATTCAGATATTATAATACTTCTTTCACACACTTAAAAAGGTTTCTGAGCAGCTAATTAAAGCTATTAAAAAGAATAAAAGACACTGTGATGAATTAGAACCTAAGGGTAAAAAGGAGGAAACTTCTCCAGGAATACACAACCTTGCCAAGTGTAATAAACTTCAAAAGCCAAGCTGAAAATCAAATAAATCCCATCTTTAGCCTCACAAAGGATGTTGCCAATTTGCTTAGGTAAGAAGACAGAACATTCCAGGAACTGCAAGCCTTCTGGAAAAAACCCTGCTTTCTGCCCTTTTATGATCACACAGCAGAAATCCAGCTTGGTGTATGTACATATGTATGTGTACACTTGTATGTGTTACAGGAGCTCGAGTGAAAAAGCAGTTTTCAGCTTAAACAGGTTTTTCTTTAAACCATTGCCAAAGGCCCTAGTGATAGCGGGGCAGGGGTAAAGTTGTCCTCTCATCTTGCATAAAGGGACATTACTACCAACCTGCTTCTATAAAATAAATATAATTATTTATAGATAAAATGTATGTGCTGAAAGTACTCTTTGCTACTATGTCAGAAAACTGTTTTCAGTGTTGTTTGTGATTTTAAAAAAAGACCCCAAGCTAATGAAAAGATCTGCTGCTTTATCTAATGGAAGTCTCATGCAGGTTGCAAAGGTAGCTTTGAGGCACACCTGGGCTTCACAGGTGTGGTAACTGAAGAGCAGAGAGGGAGAGAAATATGAGACTAAATAGCTATACTGTTTCCAGAATTAAAAGTGCAAAGCTTATCAGTTATGGTGACTTTTCCATTAATCTTTATCTAGATTTTAATGAAATAGAAAAAACTCTTTTGAAATCGAGAAAGATATGTAGGCTTTACCAGGAGTGGGTAAAAATAGTTGAAATCCCTGTTTAATGTGTTGTGTTCATGTAGTATTGTTTTCCTGTGGATCTTACATAAAGCTAATTGATTATTCCTAACGACTGTGCTAAAAGTCGGGGGGGGGGGGGGGGGGGGGGGGGGGGGGGGTGGCTCTGAATTAGACAGAGAAGGCTCATGTTGATTAAACAGATTAAAAAGCATTTGACTATTTTCATGTGTTGGAACATAGAATCACCTCCCATTAAAGCCCATTGATCTCAGTAGCATAAGCTTAAGTGATTTGCTGGTTTGGCATCTCAGTGGGCCCTCAGTGGACCTGCTGCCTACATGCAAGAAATGCAAAGTTTGGCTTGCTGATGCCATAAAGATAAAATCTAAACCTCAAGATAGAAAGCAGTTTTTAGTAGCAAAAGGATTGTGAAATGGAGTTGGTAAACGTTATTAGGTACTTCTGAACTACCAAATGATATTTTACAGCTACAGTATGCAATTTGTTGAACTACTTAGGAGAGACAGAGTTCTGATATCTATTTAGGTGAGAAAAATTTCCTGTGAAGCTAAATAGAGGATAATGTGCTAGAACATTACAGCCAGGTTTGTCACAGAGTCTGACAATATCTTGCCATGGTGATAGTGCTAGATGAATCTGTATTTGCTGTAAAAGACCCAACATGCAAGCAGTACTGCTTTATATTTTAACCAATATTAGGCAATTCCAGATTAATGCAAACAAAATTTTTCTGGTGAGATTTTTCTTAAATGGCAATATCCCCTTTCAGTGTCACTGCAGGACATTACAATGAGAAAAGCTTTCCGGAGTTCCACGATTCAAGACCAGCAGCTGTTTGACCGCAAAACTCTGCCAATTCCTTTGCAAGAAACTTACGACATTTGTGAACAGCCTCCTCCACTTAACATTCTCACCCCTTACAGGTTAGTATAACAAAATTAATCAAAAACTATTTCTAGCTTATTTTATGTAATAGAGAGGACATATCCAGGCACCTTGCTCACATGGAGTAGCACTTGAGTATATTTTATACTTGACTAGAAAACTGGGAAGCTGCTGGAGGAATGAAAGCAGCAGAAGACATTATAAGCATTGAAACTTTACTCCATTTTACTCAAATCTTCTCAGTGTGACATGGTAGGAAAAAGTAGTTTTAAAATTCTGTATTTATTAAACCATATAATGTACTTGGATGTGAAGTGAAGAAATTAAACAGGTGAGTGTGTAGAAAGAAGGATGTTCAATGGAAATGAATATTGTTTGCTCTCCCAGAGATTTAGTTTGAATCAGTAGCTGAACAGAAGCAGCTACACAAATTTGCTCAATATTTTAACAGCAAGATTTGAGTTATTGGAGTGGGACTTCTATGATCGTCTCTTCTTATTTTTCTTTTTTTTTTTTTTTTTGTCTTGTGTTAAAGTTATCTTTCTAAAATTAGGACCTTGAATGCCAGGAAAAATAGTAAAAAGTGTTGGTGCAGGAGGTCAATGATCATCTCTTTTGTGCTCCTCAGTAAAACATTTCAGGATCTGAGATACTATATATTCCTTAATATGATCTTGCTTTGTCTTAATGTTTGGATTCATGTCTTGTCAAATATATAGTATGCCCTGTTTGTGTCACTGTATTTCAGGGATGATGGAAAAGAGGGTTTGAAGTTCTATACCAATCCTTCATATTTCTTTGATCTGTGGAAGGAAAAAATGTTGCAGGACACAGAGGACAAAAGAAAAGAAAAGAGGAAGCAGAAGGTACGTAAGTTAACTTTATACGGCTTCTCTTTGTTTTTTCCTAGAAAGGGTCTGCTTGCAGATATGCTACTTTAATAGCAATCCAGACTTGATAGAGACATCTATTCAACTAAAGCTACTTGTATTCATTCAGTTCCACCAACTTTAACAATTAAATAATAACAATAATAGCAGTAGTAGGAAAATAATATAGAAGGACCTAAAGCTTTCATGCTGTCTTAACATAACCAACTTTTGCCAAAGCTTTTAAATATTGTAGCAATGACTCAGAAAAGAAGGAGGAATACAGCAGGCGTAAAGAATTTCACTTGAACATATATTTGTAAGACAAAATTTTGACAATCTTACAGCTGGAAAAGCTTGAATGAGATTCTAATAGATATGTTTAAAATAGAAAGAAATTAGTAGGAATAAAACATTTTGCTTATATTTTCTTAAAATTAAACAAGCACTTTTGCAAACGGTAATGCTACTTTTTTATTTGACCATTATGCTGTAATGTCTCATATGTAGTAGAGAGAGTAAATATGAGTGTCAGATTTGTATATTTCAGACTTAGAATAAAAAGCAACTTAAACAGGTATTTTTGCCTATATTATTCAGGTTCTTAGCCACTAGTCTGATGTTTCCAGCTCTTACAAGTCTCTCTGGTGCACATATTATGTTTAGCCTGAAAGAAAATTTTTCTTGCTTTTGAAATGGGATTGTTTCTTATAATTTTGTGGCTGATGTTTATACGCAAGTAATTAAAAAAACACTGTCTCAGTTGTCAGTTTTGTTTGCACAACTCTCCTACAGCAGAAAAATCTAGATCGCCCTCACGAACCAGAGAAAGTGCCAAGGGCACCTCATGACAGACGGAGAGAGTGGCAGAAGCTAGCCCAAGGTCCAGAGCTCGCAGAAGATGATGCTAACCTCTTACATAAGCACATTGAAGTTGCTAATGGCCCAGCTTCACATTTTGAATCAAGGTTCCTTTCTGTTTTTTCTATCCTTTATGAAGTGTATTCATACTGCGTAGTGAACATGCATGAGAAATGGTCAATGACGAGGTGCTACTGCTCCCCTTGAAACGCACTGGAAATCACTGATTTAGCTTCTTCATAACTCAGTTCTGAAATTCTTAGTGTGTCCTTAAAGGAGTAGTTACTCTGCTGTTATTTTTAAGGGTGGCATGTATCCTCATTGTATCCTTGAGGATGTGCTGTCCTCTGCAGCTTGATGAAGGTGTAGTGTCGGTGCTGCAAGCTTGCACCCAGGTGTGTCACTGCATTCCAGTCCTGACCCACAAAATCCCCATTGTTCCAGCCTCTTGATTTTTCTTAGGCAGACACTGCCAAGACTATATCGTGTGTGTGATGTGAACAAACATCCACTTGGAGCTCAATGAGAATGTTGAGCTTCTCTTTACTCTTGAACAAATCCATTATTTGATTGACATTTCTGGTTATAGCCTATTACAAAATCCAACCTGTTGAATTCTCATTTCACAGCACGTATTTGCTGGTGGCTAAAAGTAGCATTTCACATGGTAAACACCTGCTGTGCTTGTGCTTCTGGTCTTGGTGCAAAATCAAGCCCGTTTTACCAGCCAAGAAACATCTAATAGCAAAGAGTGCTGACAAGTAATGTTAGGTAATTTGGGGATAAATTTTTGGCTTTGGGGTTTTGGGTGTTTTGTTTTGTTGGTTTTTTATTTATTTATTTAATTAATTAATTAAAAAGTATTCATTGTCCTCTCAAAAACTGGTTAAATTTTTTCCCCTATCTTTCTGTGGTCAAAAGCACTCCATAAGAGAGTATTTTGTTTAGCTTTGTAAGGCCTTCAAACAAGCTCAGTAGTGGCGGTGAGTAATTATGACAACTCTAGGAGAGAGTGTTTGTTGCCTGAAAAGTAGAAAAACCTGCTTGTAGAAAACTTAGCTCAATTCAGAGTGGAAAATGCTCTCAGTGCATTTCACTCAGTGGGGTACAAGTTAAGTTATGGTGATTAGCATTTTTCTAGGAACAGCTTTATAGAATCTCTGTAAGCTGCTGTGTCAAGTCATTGGCAGAAACATCTGCTTTCCTGCTGTCCTTTTGTTATGTTGTATGTTGGGTTCCACTTTAGACATGCTTGTTTTGTATCCAGGACCCTGGCCTAAACCTTGATTATCTCAGTACCTTATTGCAATTATTAATAATGCTGAAGTGCTTGGGAGCACTGCATGTGCAGAACATGTTGTTCAGATACAGAGCAGCACCATGCTTTGAAGTAAATGAGGAAGAATTTCACCCCTGAAGAATTTAATAGGCTTAGATACTACAGTGGTGGCAGTATATGGAGATGTAGAGTGTTGCTGTACTTGTTGGAAAGTGTTCTACAAACACTTTTGCTCTGAATTTAATAGAATTTTTTACAAATAAAATTCTGTAATTGAATAGTTAATTAAAATTTACTAACTCATCAGGTCCTTGAGGTGTGTCTAAAGTTGTCATTAACAAGTTGAATCATTTTTATTTAGTGCTACTACTCAATAATAGATATTGATTGAGTCCTGTGTCTATTAAAGCAGCAAGTTCTCTTTATATATTGGAATAAAGATCCTCTGACAGAAGTTCAGCTAAATTATTCAGTTGTAAATTCTACCATTCTAACATCGATGGATGTTTCATGAATGCTATAAAAGAAGAGCAGTTCTCATTGTATTGCTGTGTTTATTTAACTCAAAATAATGTGTCTAATAAACACTAAGGTCACACACATACTGTAGAAACTATCTGATACAGCTGTCAAAATCAAATCCTTGAGCTGCTAGAAGTAATAACAGGGAAAGTAGGATAAATTATTGAAAAGCCTCACTGCATAATATGCAACACTAGTGGAGAGAAGATACTTGCATTCAGAAGTCAGACTGAAGTATAGAACAGTGGCTGAGGGCAGTGACTCCTGCTAAAGTTGAAGCTGGATCATTTCTCCCTGTTTTTCTACAGATCTCAAGCATACGTGGACCACATCGACGGGTCGTATTCGCTGTCCGCCTTGCCCTACAGCCAGATGTCTGAGCTGCTGAACCGGGCCGAGGAGCGCGTGCTGGTCAGGCCCCACGAGCCGCCGCCGCCGCCTCCCATGCACGGGGCAGCCGAAGTGAAGCCCGTGCCTCCCTGCGTGAGGTACGAGCCAGAAAGCCACGTGCGGATCCATCTCTCGGGGCTGGGTTAGTTATCTACCACCCTGCTGGTAGCTGTCAGCGTTATTGCTGTGCTGCCCAGAAATCCCAGGGGCTGTGGCAGCCCACTGCCCCAGCGTGCCTGCGGGAACAGAGCCACCAGGAGCTGGATGGGAAGGCCGGCATCCAAATCGCGCAGGATGCTCTGGTGGAGACAGGCCTCAGCTTGCCATCAATACTGCGACCGTGTTGCCTTCTGAGTTGAATGGCAAGACAAAGAACTGTATGGGAAATGCTTCTGTGGAATATGTTGGCATTTCAGGATGTAGCTTTGGAGTTTTGGAAATTTGTACAACTGAGATGTGTTTCAGCCTACATGAAAGGAAGAATATATTACAGTAAGACAGTCAGCTGTCAAAACTATGTATTCATTGCATTTGCTAAATTGTAAGTGCTTCTCTCTCCCAACGTGGCTTTTTTTCCCCTACATCTTTGTACCTTTTCAGAAGTGGATACCTACATAGAATATTTTCTAGAGCTGAAAATTTCTTTGTCACTCCCCTATTTTTTTATACCAAAAGTCTTACTTTATGGTCAGGCACATACAACTTAGAATAGAGGATACTTAATTCAGATGGGGTTGTTATATCAGCAAGACGTTAGTCTCTTGAAAAGAATGATTTTTGCTGCTTAGGAGATAATACACAAAAATGCACAATTCTTTAGATTAATTTACCACAACAGTTTAAAGAAATCCTCTGGTGGTCTTTCAGGAAAATAAATGTACTGTTCTCTCTTCCTTTCTTCAGTTCACCTATTCATTGTCCTATAATGAGTATCTAGCATATAACTGTACCTCTCTGTACACAGTATTGATGACCTTTGATATTAGTCTCACTCGTTTTGTCATCACACCTTAAATATATATTTCAAATTAACTTGTTCTCATTGTTTGCATTGTTTTGTTTCGGTTTTAAAGTTCTGTGAATCAAAACAGTTAATCAACTGCTAGTTCCCTGACTTGAGAAAAATAATTTGGGTTTATTCAGGGACAACAGGGAAGAATTATACTGCTACAGGAAACCTTTGATAAAGATGCAGGTACACTGTATAAGAACATGGATTTGGTTAATAGCTGAATTTGAGCAGAGGTCTTTTGGAAACCAGTTGCAAGCTCCATAATGAAAATTAGACTTCCTTATTTGTGAGGTGTGGACAAACACCCTGAAATCACCATAGTACATAATGCTCTTTAATGCCCAGGTTTCAATGTTCTAAAGTTACAGAAATTAATCTATTACTATTTTTTCCACTCTCTAGCTCTAATAACTTTGTTCTGTTATTGGATGTTGCAGTTCTACTCCTGGCTTGGTAGAAAATCGCCCTCAGTCACCAGCAACAGGCAGAACACCGGTGTTTGTGAGCCCCACTCCTCCTCCTCCACCACCACCACCTCTTCCATCTGCTTTGTCGACTTCATCATTAAGAGCTGCAATGACTTCCACCCCTCCACCCCCAGTCCCACCCCCACCACCCCCTCCCACAGCTGCTCTGCAGGCCCCAGCTGTGCCACCTCCGCCAGCTCCTCTCCAGATAGCTCCTGGAGTTCTTCATCCAGCTCCACCTCCAGTTGCTCCTCCCCTAGCACAACCCTCTCCCCCTGTCACTAGAGCCGCCCAAGTGTGCGAAGCTCTACCCGTTCACCCAGTTCCTCCACAAGCTGAAGTACAGGGACTTCCACCACCACCCCCGCCTCCTCCCCTGCCACCTCCTGGCATTCGACCCTCCTCCCCTGTCACAGTTGCAAACCTTTCCCACCCTCCTCCTGTTCTGCACCCTCCTCCCACAACCATTGTCCCTGGCCCTCATGCACCCATAATGCCCCCATCTCCACCGTCCCAAGTGATTCCTGCTCCTGAGCCCAAACGCCATCCTTCAACTCTTCCTGTGATCAGTGATGCTAGAAGCGTTCTGCTGGAAGCAATACGGAAAGGTAACGTTGGCTATTAAGCAGCAAAAAGAACAATCTCAGAAACCTGCTAAATACACATGACCTTTGAAAGAGGGAATATTTCACATGTATAAGAAGTTAGAGAAATGCATCTTTAGTCTATTACTGTTTCCTATCCCCTAGAGTGTATGCATTGCCAAGTAGACAGGTTTTTTTCAATTTGTAATTGCACTTATCAGATGTTTAGTTTGGATGGCAAAACTGGTTCTCAGTGGAAGTGAGATTACAGAAAAAAGTATGTGTGCTTGTAGATGATCTGTGGAGATTATCTTTCTGTTTCTGTTTACCTGCAAATGTAGCTGGTTTTGATCATCTACAGATTGTGTAGAAGACAAAAACATTGGTTTTCACAGACTATTAGATAAAAGCGAAACTGATCAATTGGCACTGGAATTTTGGTCATCTGTCACTGTCTTACAAGATATAAGTGATGTTCAGAAGTCATTGCTGAAGACTTCAAGCTGTTAAGCATCTGATCTGGACACTGATCTCGGTGCAGTAGTGGAGCAGCCTTTGCATTGCAAGGTGCCCATGGCAGAGTGCAAGGGAAGGGCAGAGCTGCAGGGCAGTGTTTTCCTGATGATCTCATGAGGAGTTGTGTGTGCCAGCTGTACCTTTCAGCTTGTGGTGCCCATGGCCAGGAAAATCCCCACTGGCATCAGAACACACACATTGGTGTGTGCTGCTGTTTGATGGTGGGGTATCTTTCGGTAGCTAGGATCTCTCAAATGCTTCAAGTCCTATGTTCTTCTTCTCTTCCCCTGGACTGCAGCACAGCTCAGAATCTGTATGGTACTGTAATATCAGCTATAGCACTAATTCAAAATATTTTTGCATGTCTATATGCACATGAATTGATAACATCATTGAAGTCTAAAGAAATGTTGACAACAACTGAGTACAACAGGGGTGCGTAGAGAATGTCAACAAAAAAGAGAAACTAGAACCTGCTGGTATAATCTAGGTGATTGCTGAAAACAGTTTTTACCAAGTCATACCCAAAAAACAAAGGCTTGAGTTACCACAGGTTTCCTCTCCAAGTAATACTTTATCCCAAACAGGGTTACAAGAGTTCCTTCTTGTTAGGATACTCAAATATCTATAAATTTTCATTAAAATTATGAATAGAGAGTCTAGAAAATGCAAACAGCAAAATGGCTTAATCACTTACAATGGTACTAAAAATGTATTTTAATGGGAAATCAGAACCAGGATATTATAGTAGAAGGACTCAAGATCTTGTCTGCCGCTGCAATTCTGACATCCTTCTCTTTGAAAGCTTGACAAAAAAAATTCTACCTGAGCAGGACAGCATCCTGTGTGTTCACTTTTGCTTGCAAAGCTTTCTGTGAATCATGACCTAAATACATTTGCAGTGGTGAAGGAGGAGAGTGACATGTTTGTGCTCTGATGTTCTCCAGGTATTCAGCTCCGCAAAGTCGAAGAGCAGCGGGAGCAAGAAGCGAAGCACGAGCGCATTGAGAACGATGTTGCCACCATCCTCTCCCGTCGCATTGCTGTGGAATACAGTGATTCAGAAGATGATTCAGAATTTGATGAAGTAGATTGGCTAGAGTAAAATTATTACATTGCTGTACACTGCAAAATCGAATGCTAATGTCCGTTGTGGTGCTTGTTCTTTGGAAGTTTGATGGTCATTTCTAGTGTTTTTTGTATTCTTTTCTTAACATAATTAATCCATGTTTTTCTACTTTTCAGTTTACAAAGAGCTCCTAGTGCATCTTCAAAACTAAATGTTTTACAGTGGCTTTTCTTACACATCTCTTTTGGAAGAACATACTTTGTTCCAATAGACCACTAAGTATTAAGCATGGGCAGCTGTTGGTAGAGTAGCAGTTTCAATTTTTTGGCATATCTTAACTGTGCACTTTGTGAATTTTAAGTTGATGAAGGCAACTGAGATTGACATTCCAAGGGCAGCTGTATGTACTAATGAGCCTTATTCCACTTCTGATAGTGTTTTAAAACATTAAACCTAGCTGTCAAAATATCACTGCCTCGATCACACCTGTACACTAAAAGTACATATAGTTAGCAGCACTGAACACACTGAAAAGCAAATGGATCTTTGGGGGGGTTTATTATTGTTTTATTGTTGTTTTTAAATAATTATGGCCTTATTTGAATGTTTAGAGATTCCCCTTCCCTTCTTCCCTCCCAGGTACATATTGTGTGGTACTATTTTTGCCTGCATAATAAAAGTTTAAAGTTTTTTTTTTCCTTGTGAAATCTTTTGACTTAAACATGCTGTGTAACTTATGTAACTGTTAAAATAACAGTTTGATTTAATAAATGGTTCATTTTAAATGTTCCTGGGTGTTGCTCTTTCAATGAAGCCTGATTTTCACTGGTATACCTGAGAGATCCTTGGTTTTCAGATATTTAATCTGTGGTGTACAAAAAGTACTTTACTGTTAGTGTATCTTGAGGAGATGTAGCAGTTAAAATCACTGATGAAAGATGATTTTTTTAAGTGCTGTCTAGCAGTGCAGTGCATGTTTTGCACATCTTTTGTGTTTCTCTTCCCTGGAATAACTCCTTCAAGTCTGAGCACATAGTCAAAAACCTGTTAAGAAGGGAAGCGTGAGAGGGTGCAAGAGCTCTCTTATCCTGTGATCTCATTCCTGGAAGATGGAATCCTGTAATAGAGGAAAACAAGTCTTGAAAGTCAGATTGAGATTTCTGAGGGTGGAACATTAAATGTTCTATGTGTTACAAACCAGTTTGCAGGGACATGTGGTTGTTAGCCTTCTCTTGGAACTGGGCAAAACTCCTGAGGGATACACTGGGGTAGGAGCAGTGTACAGCAACCCTTCCAGCTTCACTGTCACCATCTCAGCCTCCCCTGTGATTTTGCACGTGGCCTGTTATACTCAAGACTTCCAACTGCAGCAGTAACGCCTTTATTGGTTTTGTGGAAGAAAAAATATTGTCACAACTTGTGAATCTGCATCTTTGTGACTGTGGCTGCAGATCTGTGTGCCCTGTTCTCTCGGATAGTTTCTTCACAGTAACACCATCGGGTTTGTTCTGTTGTTCTCCATCGACTTCTGAAGTGTGTGTCCTTCTTAACCCCTCACTGTAATGACAAAGAAAGGATGTCAGAGGCACTGCTGCATGAATATTTGATGGTGTTTCCTTGGATCTCAGTAATCCTAACTCACCAAACCTAACTAACTTGTCCAGGAACTAAATGTGAGATCCTATTGATGCAGCTGTAAAGATTTAAGATCATAAAGCAAAGTGAATTGTATACAACCACAGCTCCCCTTTAACCAGGCACCCAGATCTGCACTCCAGGCAGCTGAATGAAGAGCTTGTCCCTGAATTTTGTGTGTAGTTAGTTCTGCCATTCACAGAACATCATTTCAACTGATGTTTATACCTATTCCTTGTTCAAGTCTCTATAAACTCCTGAATTTTCTGGTAGGTATCACAGAAAGCAGCCTGCATTGTCGCTTAAATGGAGCAGCAGCATTTCTGTGCCCAGGCTGTCACTGTTCAAATTAAAGCATCTCACCATTGTGCCTGCATTGGTGAGTGTGCTCTGTGTCCAGGAAGTGTGAATTGGATATAACTTACATAAAGTGAAGAAAAGGGAAGAAATTAAAGCAAAAAACCCCACCCTTATATAACTGCAGCTATCACATAGCAGACTTGAAGATATATAAGAAAAAAAAATCCTTATTGACAAATAGTTGTTATTGACCTGTTTTGCTGATTAATAATATCCCTTCCAAGCCAGTACCCAGGGCAGACAAAGCTCTCATTTAATATGACACAGTCACACAAAGTAATGAACCTTGTCTGTGAAAAGTCAAGAGTTAAATTCAGTTAACATTTCAAAGGCAGGATTCTTGGCCTTCTGCCACTGCTACAGCTATCTGCCATAGCAACTGGTCTCCAGATAGCAATAGCATGATTCACTAGTAGCAAGAGGTGATTGTTGAATTTGAATATTTGTGTTTGTAGATCAACCCCCAAGCCGTGCATTTGCAATCTCAGTGATTTGTGTCCCTCTTACTGTGGTCTCCAGCCTCCTTTCTCATTTGGTGGAATGCTGTGCAGAGGGCTGCTGGGCTCTTCATGCCTGTGATTAGATGTGTAATAGATTATTGATTGCTTTGTCTTGTAAGGTACTAAATCAAGACTTCTGTATTGAACTGTTTACGGAGTCTGTTGTTTACCTCTGTACATTTGCAGCAGCTGGTTAAAACCAAGGCTTGAAGTCTGACACAAAAATAATGTGTCAGTAATGTTCCATATAAGTGAAGAGAAACCTTTGTCTTCACCCTTTTCTCAAACTGTAATCTGGGACAGTTAAAAATTATCTACCTCTCCTACTGAGAATTGGTTGGATGGGGGAAGAACAATATAAAGTGCATAGAAGAAACAAAATCTGATTGTTGGCAGATGACTACAGAGGTGCAGAATTGGTCACTCAGGGGTTTTATCAAAAGTTAAAACAGGAATGGTGCAGCTGTCATGGACAAACCAAAAACAAATCAGTAAATGGAAGAGAACAAGGACTGAAGGAGCAAAAATTAAAAACGGACATAATTCCAGGTTTTGGCTTTTTTGTAGCAGTGTGATATGAACAGTAACCATTAAATACTAGATATTATTAAAGGATTATGTTATCTCCCAGTAAACTGGGATTTTGAAATCAGGAGGCATACTAAAAGATCTTTAATTGATAAAATTATTCTTTTGTGCATGTTGCCCAGGAGTGCACTCCTCAAGATTTAGGTGGACACCGACACACCATTGCCTGTCTGATGGACGCACAGACTGTGTTCCTCAAAAGGTGCCCTGGGACCCGAGGATGCCAACAGGTACCTGCAGTCCCCAAGGCCTTGCAGCAGACTTCAGGATGATGGAACCATCTTGGCTTGGATGCAGCTGCCACCCCTGAAGCGCATCCCCATGAGATTTACCTGGGGCTGTGAGCCTTTGCCTGCTTGGAGGATGCAGATGGGAGCGCAGATGGGAGCAGACTGCCGTGGGCTCACTGCCATATCTCAGTGTCCCCAGCCCATGGATCCCCACGGAGAGGGGCTCAGGACACGGCGCAGAAGCCGCTGCTCGGCAGGCGGGTGCACTCACAGCGGCACCCACAGCAGTGCGGGTTACGGCAGCAGCCAGGGCCCCAAACCCAGCAGTGCCACAGGAGACACGCCGGCAAAGCCTCAGCGCAGGCTCTGCCGCCCAGGGCTGCTCCAGCAACAGATCTGACAGAAATTCGACTCGAGCTCCATCAAGTGTCCGCTTTGTCTCCTCAGCTACAGGCCAGAATGAGTTTTACTCTCCCCATTCTCTTTTGCAAATGGGGGCATTAAACACCAGGGGAGGAATCACAAACTGAGACCAGGGGCAGCAGCAACAGTGATCTCCCTCTCTGGAGCCTCTGCAAATTCTCCCCTCTCCTTTCCCCTCCTGACTACTTTTCACACTTGAACGATTCTCCGGGGTGGTTGGCTGCCCGCAGGAGACTTTTCACGCGCTCTTTGTGGCTGCAGCTGGGAGAGGCCTCCCTGATTCCCGAGCTGCTTCTGGAGCACACCGCCAGCCCTGGGCGGAGGTGAGCTCCCTCCGCCTGCCCTCTGGGGCTGCTCTCCCTCCCCTCGTTCACCCCGAGGAGCTGGGTCGGGTTTAAGCGCTCTAAAGGCAGATTCCTGGCGACTCGGGGCCTTGCTTTTTGCCAGCATGCGTGCAGAGAGCACTCCCGAGAGCGGTGACTTGGCTGTCAGCTCCGAGGGCTGAACGAGCGCCTGGCAGCACGGCGCCAGGCAGCAGCGCAGGAGCGGGCAGGGGATCGGGAGCTCATCCCCGTCCTGCTGCTGCTGGAACAGGACACATGGACACACCTCAGGAAATGGGCACCGGGGTACAGAGCGGATACGGAGAGGCTTTTCCCCCCTGCTGATTCCTGTGCCTGCAGAGTGGGTTCTGCCGCATTAGTCATCGCTCATGTTCCTCAGCTGCCAGCAACCCTTGACAGCAGCATCAGTAACAGCCTCTAAAGAAAATTGCATCCATCCCATTTCGTCTAAATTCTTATTTTTACCATATTTGCGGGCTCTGAGCAATTGCTCCGGCTACCTCCCTTACTGGAAGTGTCTGGGTACAGATCAGAGAAGTCATCAAGCATCTCTCACCAAATGGGGCTGAGCATTCCCCTCCTTACGTTTCTTTATCTGATGGTTCAGTCACTTCACTTTCAGACACAAGACAGCTGAGTGCCCCCTACAGACAGGTCGTTTTCATTTCCCACCTCCCCCATTTTAATGCCTTCGATGTCAGTGTTCTTCATTGCAAAACTTGTGACATTTTCGCACAGCTTCGCAGCAGTATCATTCCAAAATAAGCTGAAAAAATACCTCAATTTAATGAGATCTTCCACTATGTTTTGGCCACTTCTACTCCTCTGCAAGGTGTTTCCTTCACGGCAATTTTAAAATCTCTGGACAGCTCTCCTTCTCAACCCACCCCAGTGCCTCCATGGAGCAAGATCCATGCTCAGTGTCAAATTATCACAGCTTGATCTTGCACTTCAGTATCAGCCAGAATAACTCCAGAAACTGAGACTTCTAACCTTGCGAGAAAGCAGTTCACAGCCTGGGTCTTGACATGCTGGTGTAGTTTAGAAATTCCCCTTCATGTCAAGCAAATGCTGGAGGCTGGATTTTTCCCCATTGCATTTTGGCAAAGCTAAAACCAGCTTGTAAGCATCACCAACAGGACACACAGGCCCACACAGGGATGTAGGGGGCCATCAAGCAGCCTGGACAAGAGGCTGTCCCCCACACTGCAGCCCAGATAAGAATGCATTCTGGGTTTTAAAAACACAAAGAAGTTAGCAATGCTCCCAGACAGGACAGATGCTCCCCACAAGCCAGCATCCTTTGCTGGTCAGTAGGAATCCTGGCAGTAATTCAGCTGTGGTTAATTAGGAGAAAACATTAGGGTAACTCCTTTGCTCCTGTATAATTTGTTCTCTGCAGGATGGTTGTGCACCAGCACCCACTAGGGAAGTTTCAGTGCCAATGATTATCTTTGGATGAATCAGAGGTAGAAAGAGCAACCCAGACCCTGTTCCCACATCAAAGACAGCCCAGCTCTGGGAGCAGCCAAATCTCTCTGGGCTTTCCAGACAGCTCCTGGAACTCACTCTGTAGATCTCTCTGATGAAGACCTCTAAGGTCACATGGAAAAGTTACCACCCTAAATCCCAGAAATTTTAAGCCCAGGCTTTGATGCCTCTTGGGTTTTGAAGCGTTCCACTGACTTGCCACATCTCTGCAGCCTGCA